AGACAGGTGTCTACCTCAGTACAATGGATTTGGTGGATTGGTTGGGGTCGGACATTAACACCGTTGTACACCGGCCGGCTCAGTGGTCTAGAGGTTAAGCGTTCACTCATGAGACTGGAGGCCCTTAGTTCGAATCCAGCTCACGGAATCGTGGATGCAAACTTTTGAGGAGTCCCACGACAGGGCGAAACAGCCGTCAAGTGCTTCCAAGTTTTCAATGGTGGTCTTGCATTAATCGGTTCATGATTTTAGTCAAAAACCAAACATTTTGTTCGATTTTCAAATAATCTTGTCATTTTCTTTTTATATATATAAATTTTGTTCAATATCTAGGATAAAGTTTAATATTTGAAAAGAAAAAAACAAAAACAACAACTAGTAAATCAAAAAATCCAGATCTAAGAATAAGATTTTCAAAGGGGAAATAAAACCATGTTACTTTTCTTGATCATTATCGTGTTTATCTTTTTCATAATAATAACATCATTTACATAATCGACGTAAATGATAAATGTCAATGGAACTGTTAAATAATGTCAGATTTCATAATTTGAATTATTAAATTAGATAGTTTATGCGTAGAGATGTTTAGATTAATTTTTATGTAAATGTTTATTCAGTACTTACAATGGACAAGTTTATCCGTTTTGGTACTTTTAACGATGTCATTATTATCGCTATAATGAAAGATTAATATCAGAAAGGGTTTTGTGGATATTATAGTAATTTCAATAGTTGAGATCATGAGTCGATTGGAGCTAGACCACCATGGAAAACGTGTAAGCACTAGACAGCCGTTTCGTCCTACTGTGGGACGCCTCAGCAATGTGAACCCACGACCCCACCTCACGAGATTTGAACGCAGGATCCATTAGTTTCGTGTGCGAGCGCTTGACCACTAGACCACATTGAAAGATAACATGGAAGATAACAATTCATTAGAAATATTTAATTCTTACGAAATAACAAAGAATTAGAGAACAAGGAATGAATAAAGAGAATAGAAACTATAATAATCTACTGGTAATATTTGGGAGTTAGTAATACAAATGAATAAATTACTTTAAACTAAGCCCGTTTGCGGCATTATTTAAATAAGAAATCAGATCAATAAATAGTTATTATTTTTTAATCCCGACATGAGACCAGGCCCAGGACCACCTTGAAATTAGAAAACATTTTATGTGCTTTATTTGTCTTATTTTGGACTCGAACAGAATGAAATCCAGGCACCTTCATGATAACTGCTAAAATCCAGGTGCTCTGTCCACGATGCCATATTATTAAGTTAGTCACTGATGAGAATGCAAGTACTATTGGTAGTATAGAAGTGTTTGCGGAGGTTATTAAGTTACCACAGTTTACATAACTTAATGATCTCAGTTAAAAGACCACTGGAAATCTGAAAGCCCTGAACAGTTGTTTCATCCCCAACTAAATTTGAAATTAATTCCAGGTTTTCTATTCAGAAGCCGTAACTAGTGAAAATCAATCGCGTCTAGTGTGAGACAGCTATTCTCAGATGGCAATCAGAAATGGTTAAACAATGTCCTAAACCAATAGGAATAAAATATGCAAACCACTGGAGAGCAGCCCGGTTGTCTAGAGGTTAATTGCTCTTCATGAGATCGAAGGTTTCAGGTTATCTCCCCGGTGTAGTCAAAGGATGAGCACTGCTGAGGAATTTCGTGGTGAGACGAGACGGCTATCCAGTGCTCCTTGGTTTCCAATGGTTGGCTTAATAAAATCATTCCGTGACACATGCTATGAGAACAAACAGTGGTTAGCTGGCGAAATGTTGTAACTAAATCTGATTTGAATCTTATCAGTAATTGCTCCATGTTGCTTTAGACCACTAATCAAATCGAACACCTTTACTACGATAATTTCCAACAGTGTTAAGTGAAAGGAATTGCAACTAAAAAGAAAAAGAAATTATTTGCATAACGTATGATTTACTGAGTGTGATTTGTAATAGCAATGAACAAAACATTTCGCTAAATCCGTGTTCATTTATCACGAAATTAAACTGAGGCTCTTATACTGTTGAACCGTTATCTAACACTTGTTTTACTTTGATGAACTGCCCATCTAACATCATACGAATTTTATAGACCTTTTTCCGTACCCTCATAAAGTCATTATGAAAAAGACATTTCACTTTCTAATACTACCACATACAATCGGGACTGATAAATGAGAATACTGGTGTTACACAATCATTTATGTATGTTATATGCACATTAAACCATTGGATTATTTTGTATTATTCTGCACTAGTATACAAATACTATTTATGTTAGCCACGTGATTTTCTGATGTACATTTTATAGAAAGCCCTTAGACTATATTAGTATGAATTAGTGAAACAGTCAACCAGAAAATTCTCACTAGTTAGTATGTGATGAAAAATAGTAGTAGTATGAGTAGAACAGATTGAAAAGCTTTTAGGATGCAGACGAATAGTGAGTTCATCACTGTTGTGAAATTTTTTATGATATCAATTCTTACAAATATTGCCATTCGACATGTTTCCAAACAGGGATAAAATATATTGTTGTTTTGTCCTGATAATTGAATAAAGTGTTTATTATTATCATTATTGTTATTGTTATTATTGCCAGAAACCACAGCACCTCTAAAAGTGCTCTTTCCTAACTTGTACAACGAAAGGTCGCAAACGTTTCACAAACGCATCTGAACAGATTGTGCCATTAATTGACATAACAATCTGTTAAAACAAAAAAGGAAACAGGTAAGTTGTTAAAATATCTAGATGGAAGGAACAGGTAGCCCAGACATTCAAGCAGGCCGCCTAGTTACTATCAATCCCCCTGTTTTAAATAATTTCAATGTTGAATTCATGAGATCTAAGTTCCACTGTAATCTCGTATAAACAACTAATTACTTTAACGCTTTATTTTTTTGATTGAGATCATGAACCGATTGATGTTAGACCACCATTAAAAACCTGTAAGCATTGGACGGCCGTTTCGTCCTATCGTGGGACTCTTTAGAGGTGCGCATCCACGACCCCGACTGCGGGATTCGAACCCATTGAACATCTTACAAATTGCATATTGAATTTATTTTAAGGTGAAATCAATCTTTAAAAAGGACAATAATTAAAAGCTATACTGTTTATTCATTTGACTTTATTGTACTGAAAAGGAAAAAGACAAAAGTTTAAACAACAGGTTTCATTAACTTATTAAACTAATTTATTGACATTTAATTAGACTTTATAAAATACAAATAAAAATTTCAAGTGTTTTCATATTCTTTTGTTAAGTTAAATTTTAATTAAGACAACTTAGAAGAAGAGAGATTATAGGATCAAAGGATTTGAACCGGTTACAAAATATAACAGTTAACTTTTGATTGTAACTATTATTACTATTCTCTCTATGTTATCTGTTAAAACTAAATTTTGATTGTACTTAAGTTAAAAGAAACAGTGAATGGGTTGATATAAAATCACATGACTATTTATTACATTTTTTTAATATCAACAAGTTGATATGTTTAGCTATATGCTTTTTAGGATGAAATGCACGTTCTGGATTCCACAACTATCCACTATCCATCTTTGCTTATATGCTTTTTATGTTCTAGAACTGTCACTATTTTTATACTGTATTTAAGTCTATTTAATTAGTTGCCTTTTTTCTTTGATTAAAAGATTTGAAGAGGTGAATAGTTTAGTTTGAAAATGGTTTTCTCTAAATTCTGAAATTCATAGAACAACCATTGAAAATCAAGGAGTAATAGACAACAGTTTCATTTGAATTCAAGATTGCTGTATAGAAAGTACTAGAACAACTATTAAATTTAACAGGGAATTATCACTCAGTACGACTGTTGAACCAATGTTTTAATCATAGATTAATTCTTAAGTACAGTATTCGTAACGTGAGTACCTACGGACAAGAACTGCTTTATGAGATCAATCAGCACAGAATAAAAAGTGAAACTGAATGCTCGTCAATGCACTTACGCTAACTGCTCAGAAAATGAAGTAGAATACTTTCTTCATAACAATTTTATTAATATACGCCTCATGTACGAATGAATGTATTTTTATTGTGTCAAATGATGGAAAAAACGTAACTAGCATTACTGATCAAGTTATCTGTACGAGTTTCACTTTCAATTTCAGCACCAAAACGAGTTATAATTAGGATCGAGCCAATTCCTTTTCATTCCCAGTCTTCAGATATTTACTTATAAATCCTGAATGTAAGGCATGAAGTATGGAAGAAGCTTTAATTAACTTATATACAGAAAAATAGGGAATTACAGTATCATGGATGACTTTAGACTCCTAGAAGTGTCTGAAAAATATGTTAAACTTAGAAGTAAATTCAGTAACTGTTCAATCAAGAAATTAAAACATGATTCGTCGTTTTTTAGAATTCTCTTGCAAGTTCCCAAGGGACGTTGATTGATCGGAGCATTTCTAAAATTCTGGGGATTTTATTCTTCAGCCAAAACTAAACAGGTGGTCAGTGTGTTGGCGATATTGAGTTTTCACAGTTGAATGACATAAATGATCTTATTTTTCCGAAAACTCTTTATGACTGACAAACTAGATTAACCAGACGTAAATATTCTTCTTTAATATTTTACCGCACACAGTTGCTTTCTTATAATGTTATACATTTTTATATGAAAATTATATTCTGAAATAATCTCAGCAAACTTGCTTGAAATGGACTACAAGTCGCTATTTGTATTGCGATAGAAATAAATAACAAACGTAATGAATAAACAATATTAAAGCAGATAACAGTGGTGAATATCCATGTTTTTTATTCTTAAGAATGACGTTCCGTCGTTCTTATTGAAAATTATATCAAAAGATATGTTGCCAACAGGTCAGCAATTGTAATAATAAGAACTTTCTGTAATATAGATGTCAGTTTACAGATGAATTGATGTCTGTTAAAATTTTGATACCAAACTGTAAGGAATGTTCTCGTCTTTTTATTGTTTGGCAGATTGCGTAAATGTTGAAAGAATATCAACAGATCCAATGAAACCGATATTGTATAATTCTGTTTATGGTTCATTCAGATTTTTGTCTAAAAGCTGGTAAACACTTGGACGAAAATATGCATACTGTTGATCAATATTTATCGTTTGAACAAACTTTTAAATGGAAATTAATTATATTTATTCACCTCATTTACACATCATCATGCTATTCATCGAATTCCATTACAATGAAACGTCCATCAACAGATTCTTTTCATCCATTACGTAAGTTGTATCATAAGTAATCATACTTATTGCAATACCGTTAAATGAATATAAAGGACAGTTATTTTCGTACAATTTAATGTGTTCTTGTATTTATTCACAACAAACTATTATATCTTCAGTTCATTTCTATTCATAGTTGTTTAAGTAATAGGTATATATTGCCATAGTTTATCAAAGTAATTTCAATCAAGTGATTATGCATCAGTTAACAGTGTTTATCAGTTTACAATTCTCAGTGAAAATGATAATGAATAATGAAGGAGGATATATTGACAAACAACCCAGTAAACTGTATGGTATGTGAAGAACCAGTCAGAATTTTTTTATCTAACTCAACTTCTGTTACAGTTAGTCAACCAAGTATACGTCTTCCAATATCTGATAAGATTGATTGAATGTGTACTTGCATTAATCGGTTCCATAAGAGCACTTGAATGACGAACACGGAGAGGAGGAAGTGAATTCAGTTTGTCATTCATTTTCTATTATAAATAGTATCAGATGCATATAAATTAAAGAATTATGCCCGATTGCGAAAAATATTTGTTGCGAATATTCTATGATCTTCGTCAATGTACTTGTTCATAAATGTTCCTAGTAATTCATTAGCACTAAGTAATATACACAACTCCTGTCACCCTTCTAAGGTTGCTACAGTTCCAAATTTCGAGTAAAGGACGAGGGTTGAGTATGGTATCAGCGACTCCATTCCGTAGACAACAGCCTTACTAACAAAATGCTAACCAGAATAAGCCATTCAAACCATTTAAACTCTGCCCTCTAAGTTGAAGGACCTTCGTTTAGAAGAATTATGACGTCTTATGGTGAAAGTTGAGATTCTCTAAAAGTGACGAGGCCATTTTCACTTCTAATATCCAAAGTAATAATTATTATAGGTACATGGAATGTTCGGACATTGTGGAAAACCTGGGAGGACCATTCAAATAGCTGCGGAAATGAGGAGATACAACTTGGCGGTTCTCGGAATAAGTGAAACCAAATGAACCCAAGCTGTACAGAAAACGTTAAACTCGAGAGAAATGCTGTTGTACTTGAGTCAGGAAGAAGAAAATGCTCCGCACACTCATAGAGTTGCTCTGATGCTGTCCAAAGTAGCACGTAAATCATTTATAAGACGGTAATCTCATGGATCCAGAATCACCAAAGCATCCTTCAAAACAAAGAACGAGGGATCACAATGAATGTTATTCAACATTATATACTTATAAATTATGGCAACAGCGACGATCAAGATCAGTTTTACGAGAGACTTCACTCGTAAAGAAGCTCTCAGGATGGGAAATGACCACCATGATGAGAGATCTAAACGACAACGTTGGAATGGACAACACTGCATATGAGGACATCATGGGATGACATAGACTGACTAGAAGAAAAAGACGAGAATGGCAAGAGATTTGGAAATCTATATATACTCAACAGAATTGTTATAGGTGGCACAATAATGCCCCACAAACACATACATAGAGCTACATGGGTCTCACAGGATCACACTACAGCGAACCAAATTAACCACGTTTACACCAATAAAGGATTCCGTAGGTCGATTAGAGATATGAGAACCAGCAGAGGATCTTACGTAGCTTCAGATCACCACCCGGTTGTGTCCAAGATGAAACTAAAGCTGAGGAAGCACTGGACAGCTGGGGAAACAGAATTACAAAGACCCAATACATCTTTGTTTGAAGGTACTAAGAAAATCGACCAATTCAAGATAATTCGCAACATCAGGTTCCACGCCGTACAAGATCTACTCGAAGAAGATGAAACTGTTATGAAGGGCAACTGGAAACAGATCAAAGAAGCACTAACTTCAACGTGTAAAGAAGTGCTGAACCTCATGAAGCATCATCACAACGAGTGGATCAGTATGGAAACCCTGGACAGAATTCAAAAAAGGAAGAACAGAAAGACAGCAATCAAAAACAGCCAGCTGAACAAGAACAGAGGAAGTTAAAACACAAGCTGAATACACAGAAGCAAGCAAGCAAGTGAAAAAGAGTATTAGAGCTGACAAGCAGAAATAAGTGGAAGAGCTAGCAACGACGCCGGAAAAAGCTGCAAGAGAAGGAAATATGTGGCAACTATATGATACAACGAAGAAAATAACAGGGTATATAGTAAACCAGAGAGATTGTAGTGAAGGATCTTGATCTTCCCAATCTTCTGTTGCCAGATATTACATTCCTGACTCGCGTTATGTACTACTTATGTCAATATAAGTAGCACGCACCACAAGACTAGTCAAGGACAAAGAAGGCAATCCAATCGCTGAGACTTAAGAACAGCTCCACTGAACCCAATGGACATTGAAGCAACACTCAAATGTTTTCCTGCAGCTCCCACCCTACCAACAAAGATAGCGTCAATCCAGTCACACTTGATGGACAGGATCTGGAACAGGTGGAAATGTCCACGTATCTGAGCGGCATCATCGATAAACAAAAAGGATCTGATGAAGATATGAAGACAAGGAATGGTAAAGTAAGTGTAAAATTCCTGCAGTTGAAGAACATATGGAACTCAAAACAAATTTTAATCGGTATCAAAATCATAATCTTCAATCTGAATTTCAAGACATTTCTACTTTACAGAGCTGAAAATTCAAGAACTACTGCAACCATAATCAAAAATGTACAAGTATTTATAAACTATTGTCTACGTAAGACACTCATTGTCTGTTGACCGGATACCATCAGCTACAGCCTACTGTGGAAGAGAACAAACTAGCTTTAAGCTGAAGATGAAATTAGGAAAAGAATTCAGAAGTGGGTAGAACAGACATTGAAGAAATCATCAATTTGTGTCACGAGACAAGCGCTAATTTGTAATCCTGAATGGAACCCGGAAAGTGGAAGACCAAAGAACACAATGCGTCGGTAATTAGAAGCAGATATTAAAAAGACGAATAGTGATTGGAAAGAACTAGAAAGTGTTATCCGTGACAGAGTTCGATGGAGACTGCTAATGAGCGGCCTATGCTCTTCCTTGAGGGGTAGCAGGCGTAAGTAGTTAAGTAATTAAGTTGCACATAATATTCAAAACGTTGATATATGAGCAGGACAAAGAAGTTATTTTTTTCAGGAAGCTCCTATTTTATTTCACCACACATTATCAAGACCTTTAGGCACCGTCTCACCTAGGTGGCGAAAGCTAGGAAGTTACCAGTTAAGAAATTAATCTTTAATTTCAGTTGTTTGTAAGTCATTTATTACTATAACCAAGGAACACGTAACAAACACTCTTACTCGTGTCGTCTAATTTTCGTGATCTTCACTTTGCCTCAGTAACAAATTCGTACTTTATTTTCACCTATGCGCACCATTCATCTCCCATGACATAATCCTGAATTATTTTCCAAGTTTTAAATGTTGAAATTTTCGTTCACTATAACAAGTCAAGTTAAAGATATTATTATGTAGATCTTGTCTACTGATTTACCACCAAGTAGTTTGACGGATTATACACAAAAAGTTGGACCATTTCTAAGTAGTACTGGTAATAGTACACTAACGTTAAATCAATAATTTCTGACGATGAAAATGAATTATGTTCTATATATATTACAAAGACTGACCATGTCCATTCATTTGTTTTATCACTTTTATGCTACAGCTGAGAAATATATTGACTTATTAAGTCCAATCAAGGTTGATCATGATTATCTTCACTTCAATCCAGGCACAACATCTGGCACAGATTGTAATCAATGGGAAAACCGGACCTTACAAACTTCCAGTCCTACTGAAACACTGCAATTGGACCACAATGGCCAAAATGATATATCTTTGTCCCACACACCATTATTGCCAGTCAGCTTTTTGGTTGAAATGATACCATATCCAAGATCATATCCTGGACGATCATTTTTCTTCAGTCGTCTAGATAACTTGAATCGTATACGTTTGGCTATCGGATTAAACCAATGGGGTAAAACTGGTGAATCTATGGAATTATGGATACATCATGAATTATTTTATAGTCTGGAACCAACTCCAAAAATTTCCACGTATTATATTGGGTCAGGTTTAGTAAATCATGCCGGTCTTGTAATAGTACCTTTACCGAATTATCAGTTCAATACTAACAAACTTATTACATTAATTATTGAAGTATGTTGGTATTTATGAATATATAAAGTAATAATGTGCTAAATTACTCTTTAAATTTCCTGAAATTGTTATACATACTTCGAAAACACTTAAAGACGTACAATTAGTATAGGTGATAATATTCATTATTTCAGTTTTACTGATAAACATCAATAGTTCATCGCAATCGGAATTATAAGCAAATAAGTTCGAGATATTTTAGTAGCATTTTGTCAAACCTGAGAACACAATAAACTAGCAACTACAGCTAGATTTATTTAAGGCAATATAAAAATGCTGTAAACAAATACATGGTTATTATGTTATATAATAAATCCCCTAATGAACGTGAACTCTGTGGTGCGGGTACATCTAGACGGCGAGTCCCAAATAGGATAAAACGCGTGTCGTAGATTCCACTGCTAACCATCATACACCTCTGCTTATAACGCTTATGAAGTAATGGCAATACTGAGGCAATCTGAACAGTTTATAGGATGGTCAAAGTAATACAGACGAATCATATATATATATATATATATATATATATATATATATATATATATATATATATATATATATATATATATATATATATATATATCATGATCCCAATTATTCTCTCGTATCTAATAATTCAGTTACTATATTTGGTCAGTTTCCTTTGCAAGACTGTCTGAAAAAATATTCCGTAAGAACTTGTCTTAATTACTCCCTTAACATGTATCCGTTCTTTATTCTAGTATAAAATGCATTAATTGTATTATTGATTGTATCAATTAGTTGTTATTGTAGTTCAGGGTTTAACTGTTTAGATCAACGTTTCTGCCATATTATGATAAGTTTTAACTGAAGTTTAATAAATTAGTTTCTTCTGACTCGACAACTGATTTCAAATTATCGATTTAGGAAGATATTGTTTTAAACTGTTAATTAGATGGTGGTTGGAGGTAGTCGAAATGAAACCTTGGACCCGGGTTTCATGCTACTTGGCACTCGTCAGCAATGTGTACCTGTAATCTTGAGGGAACTGGTGCTCCCTGGTGGATTCGATCTCGTGTCACCCAGCTTCACAGTCCGAGCCGTGACTGACCTCCTGTAGGACTGAGATGTAATCACAATTGATTGATCACTGGGTGGTGATCAATCTCATGCTTGTCTAGTCCTTATTAGTGCAGATCGAATGCACCTTGCTGATGAGTGCCAAGTAGCACGAAACCCGGGTCCAGGGTTTCCTGTTGACTACCTCCAACCACCATCTAATCTCAATACATAGTGCCCGCAGTGTCGAGTCACCTAGACTGGTGGCCACATTGCAACATGATCGATAGCATTCGATCTGCATTAATAAGGACTAGACAAGCATGAGATTGATCACCATCCAGTGATCAATCAATTGTAAACTGTTAATCTTTTAACAACAGTTGTAATAACTGCCCAAATCCTGTTTGAATTGTGTTGGTTATTTGAATGATCATTTAAATTATTAAGATTAATGTGGCTACTCACCAAAACTCCATAAAACACTTTTAAGACTACAACCAACGCATATTGAAAGATAGAATAACTTTTTAGGGAATCCTCAGTCGTAACATACGACAAAATCATACATTTATGTACAAAATATTTTACACAAAATAAACATGATTAAAAATTATTGAGGAAAAGAACGGTTCTTAATTTATAGGCTGTTCAATAACTTTTGAAATTTAGACCTGATTATTAGACTTGCTTATTAACCAGAATATCAGAGATGAACAACAGCTCGATGAAAATATAACGGTAAATCGGAATGCTCTGGTTACTTATAAATGTAGATTTATACTGAACATAATCAAAGACAGGTTTTGTGGACATTATAGTAATTTTAATAGTTGAATTTTCGAGCCAATTGAAGCTAGACCACCATGGAAGACCTGAAAGCACTAGACTGATAGATCTTGGGTTCGAATCTCGCGAGGCAAGATAGTGCATGAGGCTACCACTGAGGAGTCCCATAATGGGACGAAACGTTCTTCCAGTGCCTTCAGGTTTCCCATCGTGGTCTAGTTTCTGTTGACTCATGAATTCAACTATTAAAATTATACTGTACAATAAATGGAAGTAAATCACATTGTGTCTTCCTTAATCTGAAATAAAATACCATGAAAGATATCGAAAGGTTTAGTAATTGTATTCTGTAAACAGACCATTTGTATGGTTATCATATCATTTGAGTACTTCAATCGGATTAGAAGTAATATGTATTTTTCAGCAGATAAATCAACTGACATATTCTAAAACAAAAAATAGATACAAACAATAATTCAAGTTTGTGAATCCTTAAAACTGAAATTGAAGCTATGTTCCAATGTTGTTGTAAGGATAAACTGATTCTTATGATAAGAATGTAGACATGTTTCAATAAAAAACTGGTTGTTCATCTTTGTTCGTGATTCTTTGCAAAATGAAGTGTTTTATTAAACCATTGATTATTACATTCTAAGCAAACATGGATAGCGGCTAGCAGTGGAATCCGGGACGCGCGTTTCGTCCCTTTTGAAACTCGTCAGCTGGATGTACTTGCACCTGAGAGTTGGTGTTTACTCCGGGCCTCGAACTCAGTACCGTTCGCTTCAAACGCCATCGCGTTATTCATTTAGCCACTGAGTCCTGACAGTCACCTGCCGTGTGCAATGGAGTGAAGTTTAAATTCACTTAATTTTGTTTGCTTGTATTTTCCCATAGTTGTCTAGGACTGCAACCGATCAGACATTTGTTGGCATATGTGCACCCTGCCCCGATATCAGAACAAATACAATATGAGAAAAGAAATTATAAAGATGAAAAAGAAAAGAGGAGAATTAATGATATTCATCTCATTACAGAAAAGTAGTTCAAAAGGAATGTATTAGAGAGAATAATAATCTCAATCAACGTTCATACATCGTCTAAAACAGATAAAGCTTATACGTTAGTTTTCACAGTTGCAAAGATTGAAAAAATTGTTCATCTTTGATTGTGTATATCTTGTATCTAACAGTCCCTCCCCTCTTTCTCACCTTCTACTTTTTCTTACTAATTAACAATCAAGATTACAAACGCCAGTGTTAAAGTGTACAAAAACTGTAAGTTATACCATAAACCTCTATTTAGTATTAATTATCGACAAAATATAAAATACCATCATTTACATGGAGATAGATTTGAAAATAAATCAAAAGAATTATCGAGAATGGATAAATTCTATACTCTGTCAGGAGGACCATATCATGGTGACAAATTTCTGGTAAGTTATCATGTAATTTGTTGATTTGGTTGTTTCTATGATGATATTTCTAAATGTGTATTTAATAAATTGCAACTACTGTCCATCTTTTGCCTTTTAAGACCTTCAACTTGATACAAATAACATTCACGTCATTTTGTATATCACAGTTTCAAGTATCCTATTTAAATATGAATCCCACTGTTTAAGTCCAGTAACTCTGAAGATCAGTAAAGTAGATTTACTATAACAGCTACAACCTCTTACTGGATTGTACTTAGTACCTCTAAATATCATGGCGAGCACGATACCTATAAACTGTTGAATCTGGACCAAACAGTCTTTATTTATAATTCCAATTATTCCTTGATGTTATTCAACGGTCACCTAATTTCATCGTCGATAAATTTCCTACTCATAAAATTGCTGAATCTCAGTAGTTATGGCTTGTCGCTAGAAAGTTTGGGATTCATCTTGAAGCTGGCTACTAATGCGAATATATTGCTTCAGGATTATTAAACAACTCATCAAAGTTAGAAATTAAGGTGGTAATAAAAATTATCTCCAACTGGCGGGAGCTCACTAAGATTAGTTTAATATGCCTACTAGAACAACCGCCAAAGGTATTCCATAATAACAAAATAAACACATTCAAATAATGTACATAATTAAATGTTATCGATTTTATTTCTGAGTCGATTATTCATTTATTTTTCAATAAATGAATTTGAAAAATAATTACTTGATTCTTGGGTCATCGATCTGGTAGAGGGAATTTATAAATCTTCTTGTATTTCTCCGGTTGTCGCCGGGTGTCTTATTTGCCAAATATTCCACTGTTCGCCTACACAAATAAAATCATTTCCTAGCCTGGAACATTATATTTAGTGGAATATCGTTTTTCAAGAAGTATGTATCTCTTCATCAAAGTGAACTAAAACATCAAAGAAGCGGCCTGCCTGAATATCTGGGCTACCTGTTACTGCCATCTGGATATTTCAACAAGTTATCTGTTTCCTTGTTTGTTTTTAAAGATCGTTATGTCAATTAATTGCATATGCTATTCAGGTGCGTTTGTGAAACATTTACAACCTTATTCTGTGCAAGTTACAAAAATGTACACTTGGAGACATCATTATGGCTGGCAATATGCATTATAAAGAATAAGTATTATTCAAATGTCGACTTCTGAATTGCTAATATCTAAATATTTACCGTCAATATCGATCAAGAAATAAGAAAACGAAACTTATGGAAATACTTTGGGCTGAGAATTCTATATTGTATCAAAAATGTCATTATGAAGAAAGCTAATAATATTAATAATTACTCAATGATTCCTGATTTACAAATATGATGTTTCTTTCAATTCAGTGAACCTGAATCCAACAAAACAATCCACCAATTCAAAAGGACGCTACCAACTTTAAGGTGACTTTCCAACTGTAATTGATTTGAAATTACAAATCTAACAATCTGAAGTGTTCTGAAGAGTTCATATGAAAATAATTGAGAATTCTGACTTTATCGGTCAAATAATCATTAACATATATTGCATATTAAGGGAAATATCCCCAAGATCACTTCACATTTTAAAATATTTTTTATATAAAGTTGTAGTTTACTCGTTTATGTTGTTAGTAATATATCGTAAAATATTAAAACGTGTCGATTAATTTGTGCAGTTTTATGAACTATATTTCAATGTACAGTCTGTCCAGTGATTTGAAATCAACCGAAGTTCTATTTAACCAAACTGTAAGGACGGCGCACGGGTGAAATAGAGAAAGTTCTAAGAAGCTCAAAAAGAGGTAAAGATATTCCAACTAATCATCTTTTGGAAGAATATTCCAAAATCTCTACACGTAGCTTCCCTATTAGATAAATGTTAAAAACCCCTGTACGCGGATTGAATGACTATAATGATATCGTTTTTACTAAAAACTATAAATACTTGAGGATTTTGTACCATATTTAATACTGTTTGGAATTGCATTCCTTTCATTTGTCTTCTATCTTCTCATTTGCGTCTTGGAGGGTTCTAGCGTTTGAATGCTTAAGTTGTACGCATTATGTCAACAATCTAACCTCTAAATATAACAACTGGCGACGTGGTTAACCTATCAAAATGTCAGTTACCTTTGACCAAGTTGAAGCTTTGCTAGGGCGTCTTGAAAACCTTTACGAACAGTTCCAGATTCATATTCTAGAAGCTCTAACCCAGCATATGAACCTAAACCAAAAGGGGTTTACAGATGATATGTTCAAATACCATGTTGACCACATCATTAATTCTATCCGTGAATTCCATTTTTATGCTTTGGCTGGTGTTACGTTTGAACTGTGGTTCAAGAAATACGAAGATATATTCAAGGTCGAGCTAGAAAAATCTGATGATGCCGTAAAGGTCAGAGTACTGCTGTGCAAACTTGGCACAGCTTAATACGAACGGTACATCAACTTTATTCTCTCCAAGAATCACATAGACCTTTCATATGGTACAACGGTTGTAATTTTATTGCAAATCTTTGGTGAACAGTCGTCTTTGTTCACTATTTGTTACCAACGTCTTGAGTTGACGAAATCTGGAGACGACGGCTGGATGCAACATTCTGGCATAATAAATCCCAAGTATGGGCGTTTCGAATTATCGGCAATGACAGAAGACTAGTTTAAGTGTCTTGTTTTTGTATGCAGCTTGCAGTCGCCTGAAGATGCCAATATCAGAACTAGAATTCGTTCAAATATAACGCTACAAGTGACGAATGAATTTCAGAGGTTCATGAACTTGAAACATGACACTTCTATGGTTGAAAACAGTGACCAGTCACCATGCGTGCAGGTAATAAATGACCAGGAAGATTCTATTGTACGAAAGCAGGACAGCTCAGACAAACAGCATCCATCCTCGTATTGGTTATACAGTGAGTGGCACTACAATAAGTGTTGCCTATATAAAAACTACGTTGTAGTAAATATCAGCATAAAGGACATTAGGAATCCTTCTGTAAAAAGATGTGTCGTCGTCCACCGCGATTTTATTCCAGGAGACATAAACCTCATGCGCTAACCAGAAAAATAATGGTAGCAGACTCATGAACGAAACATAGTCGATAAGAATTTGTAACCATCAAGGTTGACGGTCATCTTGCCCATCTGCAGCTCGACTCTATTTCCGTATTAGCCGAAGAACCTGGAAGCATATTGGAAAACCCCAGGTGTTCGCAACAACCCAATAAGCTCATAGTGTATCTGTAGGAAAATCAAATATTGTTGGACAGGTATGCTGTACAGTTTCAAAAGGACATGCAAAGATGAATGAGTAATTATACCTTACAGAGAGTTCAGGTCTAGATTAGCTGGGTCTAGACCTAATAGAAACACCTCTAGATATTCTCTCGATAGTAATTTATTCACAAAGTTTAAACTCATTTGTTTCATCATTACCTTAAAATCAAAGTGATTCAGTTGACCCATCATTGCCATCTTCGAAAATAGTGGATATGAATTATTTTCCTACACTACGTTACTATCTTTGATCTTAATCAAAATTTCACTTAATGATTGAAATATATAGAACATTCTGTAATAACTGATGATCCTTTTAATTATCATAGTTTTGGTTAGATAACTCAAAATATAAATCCTTTAAAAAACACGATGTTGATTCGCAGACATTTCTTTGATTCCTTGCCAGTAAATATCAATATGCTCATATTTTTTCAACCTAATTATACTAATATACAAAATAACTTAGTGTAATGAAGATTATTGTTGGGACGGCTTCCGAGGACTATGACAGAGCCTTCAGAGGCCTTAAAGGAGCCGAAGAGTTTCCGTCCAGTTAGAATCTGGTGGAGATGATTTACGACTGTGGGGTTCTGTACATTCGAGCACCTTAGTTGTATACCGTATTCTGAGTTAATCAAGTAGTGAACATAACAACTATCAATACTCGTTTATGTAAAAATTTATTATATCTCATTGAATCTCATTATTTCAGGGTCTTATGAAACGAATGAAAATGTTTTTTACTGAATATGGAGCTCGAAAATATTGTTCCGATGATAGTGTAAGTGACCAATATTAGTTATTGTTGTATGTTATAATAAAGAATAATATTTAAATATGCATTAAATACTACTCTGAATTACATGTTGTTGAATGACTAGTTTTGACTCTCTTAATGTAAGTGAATATCCCGATAAAATTTCAAGTCAATTTTGAGATATTATTTCATTTAATAATTTATGGGGAAGAAATTATTTTTAAAGGCTTGAAGTTACCTTAATAAATTGACACTGATAAATTGACTGATAGGTCCTGGGCTCGGATCTCGCGAGGCGGGGTTGTGGATGCGCACTGCCACTGAGGAGTCCCAGGTTTTCCATCGTGATCTAGCCTCAATTGACTCATGATCTCAACCATTGAAATTACTATAATATCCACGAAATCCCCTTCTGTTAAGAAAAATAAATCTCAACGTTTCTGTTCTTATACTCTTATGTTATTTTTGAAGTATCAATCATGAAAGTTCATGAAGAGATAATCAATTTTAGTGATAAGTAATAAATCTCTGATCTTAATAAAAAAATGATCGTAGTAAAAAGTGAATTCTCGAATGAAAAAATACAATGGACGACGCATCATTATAGAACATTGTTATTCCAAAGCATAATAAAGCAATCATTTTTGTATAATTACTATAAGACTATCTTGTTAACAGGTGTGAATCATTCCATCGAGAGACATGTTTTATTAATATTTTTTTCCTTCGTGTTTGAATTTTTGCTGAGTTGTGAAACTAAACAACATCTCCATAACGTAACTGTTCCTTTTGATAATTAAATGTATTTAAAAATGCGACGTGTTATAATTCTCTCTTATTAAAACCCAGCTATTCCTGTTGCTTAGTACTCTTGGACACCAATTCACTCGACCAGTCCCCAAATCAGAACATGGTTGAACACGAAAAAGATTATATTCCAAATAACAAGGTTAGATGGACGTAAGAAACACAGTAGGAAAAACGTCAATATATTTATAGTTTTTACATGAGAAGATTCTAGAGTGTTCTCCAAGTATGGACTAGCACTGATTAGATAAGAATTAGCCAGTGTGCTAACACAACGACCACTTATTTTTACAATTGCTAGCCATGAGTAAAATTTTATGAATCTTTTCACTGGATCATACGTGTTAATAATACTACAATCATGAGAATTCGTAAAAAACTTTAATTGACCATATAGATGAAATTTATATACAGAAAGGAGCTATCTCTCAAGTAAAAATTGTAATCTTCTGATCGACTTCAAATATTTCTTTAAGAAATAATACCCAATGTAAATATCCAGTTAATCAATGTAAATCTACTCTTATTGTTTACAATAGGTTGACTCCTTGGGATATGAAGAAACAGGGTAAAACTAGGCCATAAATGTTTTTTAGCATGATAACATTAATTAAAATACAAAGGTTATCAAATTTCACCGTGTATGATAGATAATCTTTACATTAACATTACTTACTTACTCATGTTACTCTCAGTGGAGCTTAGGCCGCCGACATTAACGTTACCTTTCTCGATATAGTCCAGGTTACCTGTTTGTTTTGTAAAAAAAAATAAAATAACATAAATTGCCAGTGATAAACTTGTCCATCATGAAGATAGGAAAAAAACAAGTAATAAGGGAAACACCTTTCTTCCCTCTATATCCACATAAACCTTGAACAAAATACTCATTGTGTGTAAACTTCAGTTTCATTCATTGGTCAAGTACTCTATGCTTAATTTCGGCTTCATTCTCATCTGAACTCACTAACAATAAATGAAAAAAACTTTCAGATTGACAGTACTTTTAGATTATGCACTGTAATCTAATAGTCTTCATCTTCCATTTAAAAAAAGTAGTGGATGTCTTTCGTAGCTTGAATATCTGGGCTATCTATATTCCTGCCGTCTGAAAATTTCAACAAGTATTCTGTTTTCTTGTTTGTTTTAACACATCATTATGCCTAGTAATCACATAAATTATTCAGGTGCGTTTCTGAAAATTTTACAACCTTTCTCTGTACAAGTTACAAAAGAGCTCAATCAGAGACATCGTGGTTGCTAGCAATATGTATCGAAAAGAATATACATTAATCAGATATCGATTCCTGAATTGCTAACTTCTAACTGATGATCACTCATTAGTTATCGTCAGGATCAATCAACAAATAAGAAACGGATACTTGTTGAAATACTTTGTACTGAGAATTCTATATTGTGCCAAGAATATAATATTGAATAAAGCTACTGATAATAATAATAAATCTTTCGCCAGAAGTTTCAATAAATAATTAAAAAACATTGAATTGGTTATGTATCTTGGGCAGTTATATGCTTTAACCTGATTTAGAATGAATTACAAGTAGAATTTTTTGAACACATAGAAACCAGTTTTCATAAATTTGTCTTTCGTATATTTGCACAGAATTTCAAACTATGCAAAAGTAGTTTAAATGAACAACATATCCGAAAAGAATGGCAGAAATTAAATCCATTTAACCAGTCAAATCATACAGGTGAGGAAATGTAAGTACCCTATACATTGTTGTGTAACTATGTTTTCCCATTATTTTGCCAACGTCATTCTCAATTACTCATTTTATGCAGAGATCTTTACATTATTCGTGTATAATACGGAATCGGATCTAGAAAAGGATGTAGTTTTCGGCAGTAATGTAAATAAACCTTATCGATGGTTTTTCACTAGCAAAAAACTTTATTTCGTTGACTAAGCCGATTCTTGAAACCGATTAAACTCTGGATCCACACTGACTTCTTTCAGTTAAAGTCTTTTTTCACACTGGTCGACAGGCCTCCGTAGTCTTTATAGTCTAGCAAATTATAATAACTAGTATAAATAATCTCCCTTTATTTGAAGTTCACTGTATAATTAAAGCATATGTACTAAAAGAAATATCTAACTAGGTCTCGAGTTAAAATGTGTTGTTTACTAAACCATAAATATAAAAATGAGGAGCGTTTTTAAATGTGAAAACATTAAAATAATTAGTACTTACTTGATGGAATTACTCATGAGGTGAGTGTTGAGCTCAGATTGATTCTTCTCATTGGTGCAATCATATACATGCATAAAAACTACTAGGAGTGATAATTTAACTAAGTAGATAACTATATTCAGGAACAGAGTCCATGTTATTAAGTTGTTTATTACCATCTTACATTGAAGTCGGTGTTTGTTGCCGTCAAAATAAAATGAGGTAAGGACGGTTTCCATTTCAAATAAAAGTCAATAGATTTCTTGATCACTTACTTCCACTTAATTTGTTTCCGTATTTTGAGTTTGTTCAGCACTTAAAATTCTTTCCATTAGAAGTTATTTTAACTAGTTTTGATCATAATATGGCGTCAACTTTAAGACAATCGAGAAGAAAAAAAATAACAAACAGATTCTCTATTCTTGTATGAGACAATGGTGTACACCAAAAGACGCCAAAGGTCAGACCTTGTACATTAAGGTCTTGCAACGAGCTATTTATGTTGGAGTGATCCAGAAAGTTTCTTGCAAAAGGCAAGCAAGCATCGGGAAACACTAAGGAGCGTTTCATCCAATCAGCGTTCACTTGAAGTTTTGACCAAAAATATCAAGGAAGTGAAATATCACATGTAGAGGTTCTAATTGGCTGATTGCTACACTGCTACTACGTTTAGTGGCATTCCAGAATCTTCTGGCAACCAAAGGACATTCAAAATGTTATATAAACCCTGTATTTTCTGTATTAAAATGAACCTTGGAGTAAAGTGCTTCTCTCATGCTTTGCTTCTTCTCTCTCGACTCATCAATTATATCCATTAAGTTACTATTCATAGCACCCTAAGGAAATTATTATAACAGAATTCTACAGTTGATTAGATTTCATAATTGTTATTTTCGCATGTAAATCACTTCATTTTCTCTCAATATTATCGCCTAAAAAATCAATAATTTTCAAGCTCATTAATAAAAACACACAACGAATAAAACCTATGAAGATAAATGTTGGATTTCAGTAACCTTATTGTAATAATTGGAAGTATCCGAGTTATTATACAAACTAGGAATCTCTGAAGTAACGCAATGAAGGCCAAATAGAACTAAGTGAGCACAAACGACCGTATTGTATATGAAATTCGAAGTCGGTCATCACCATCATCAAGTAAAAAGGAATCATTATTTTATACAAAACTTATAATTATATTAAACCACTTTTTAAGATCTAGTGAATCATTTTCAAATCATTGAAATTAAACCATGTATCTAAAGGAATTATTGAGGCTAAGTAGATGTAGTTAATACTTTTTAGATCATTGTCATGATCGAATTTAATGAAATAATTAAAATGGAACAATGTAGTTTTGTATTACAATCTTTTGTTTAAAAATAGAACTAATTGTTAATTTTCATAATGAAATTATCAAACTACTAAGGTAGACTTCAATATGAGACTTTTTCTGAGATAATGAATCATGTTATGAAGTGATCGAAATTGACTCTAAATTTCATTGATATGATTTTAATCACAAAATCAAGAAATCTAGATTTGTGTAGCTGATTTAGAAATGAACTGAAGAGACATTATGTTCTATGAAATGGTAAGCAGATAGATTTCATAATAAATACACTGATGTGTAACATATATGATTTTTATTTACAAGATATTATATTCCACTAAGACATGGAATATCAAAAGACAAATCTAGTCTCTAACTATGAGCAATTAATGTTTTCAAACGATATGAAATTAGGATGAAAATTTTCTGAATGAGTCGTCTTAAGAGCTTCAATAATTATGTAGACCTTTTAGCATCATTTGTTATGAATAGACAGCTGTATGAATCAAAATTTTAAGTAAACATATTTCACCTCACCGACTAAGGATTTGAAATGACATTTATTATCAGTTGCTTCCAATCAGATAAATGGTTTGATTTTAAATTTTTCATTACACCAGTGACACAAATTTCAAAGGACAATGAACTGTTTGAACTGTTCAATAAGTGACTAACAGGTTGTCTTCTTAACATGGTCCTTAATAGATTGTTACACATAATATTTTGTTACGGTTTGCTTATATATTTTCATTGCCTTCTTACTTGACTAGAGCCATGATTTTATATTCTTTCGATATTTTTATTAATCGCTTCTAAATGTTCCTTGGTTTTCTTTGTGTTACTTACCCTCATAATTTTATGTCTTTTTTAGTCAAACTTATGTTCATGGTTATCCATGCCCAGTAACATAAACGACGATATACCATAATGTTCGATAACAAACTTATGTTACATGTTTCATAGAGTTAGTGAAAACACATCACTCCCTCTGATCTTAGTGTCATTAAAAGCGTATGATAAATTCGAAAGACTCTAGTTATTATTCTATCGTCTTTCTCTTCTTTCACTGGTAGCTTATATCATGATAAATTTCTAAATTTTTGATCATAAACCATTGCCTATGTAATCAACACAACTAAGAGTGGGGAATTTCAATCGATCATATTGTACACAACACTATTGGCTAAAATCAAAAAGGGAATACAATAATGAAATATACAAAATTGATCCATAAATTTACACTTGATATAATATTGTTTTAGTTAAATTAAATTTGACTTAGTCTACAATTTCAACCATCGAACCAATTCATTAATACATTGTATTATTTATTGACGCCTACATACATACAGACATACATTTAGTAATGAATTAGAACTTCCCTGTTATCAATTTCTAGAGAAAGTTTAATTTATCTTATTCACATTTTCTGCCCTTATCAATGAATAATTTCTATACAATATGTGTTTATGTATAAGTGAAGAATAAAATTTGGGTATTATATTAACAGGTGATTCAGTTACATAACTTTTATTAATGTACAGTATAATTAAGCATTATCTAATAATGAATTGTGAATAACTAATTCATTTATTACATAACATGATCATTGAAGGCACTGACACTATAAATATCTGAACCGTAAAAACAACACTAAGATAATTGTTCTAATCCACTTATACGTACATGTAAATCATATTTTTCCCATATAATATCACATTTATCTAACTGATTCAATGATAACTAAATCTATTTCTATCTTATACATTCTATTCATTTATTTAGTTCAATTAAACAATAATGAACAGATCAGTGGTAAAATCAATCAACAATTAAACAATAATATCTATAATAGAACAAAACAATCATTTAACAATAACAGTGATGTAACCGTAAAAACTCGAATGAAATCAAATAAATGTAATCAAAATATTCATGAAGATAATTGTACTAAATTAAATTTGAATAAGTCGGTGAATAATGTAAGTTCAAATTTTGTTGTATATATATATATACATTAAACGTAAATTACTTAGTTGCTTACGCCTGTTACTCCCAATGGAGCATTGACAGCTGACCATCATTCTCCAAACCACTCTAACCCGGGCCTTCTTTTCTAGTTCTATCCAATTGTTATTCATTCTTTTCATGTCTATCTCCATTTCTTAACATAATGTAATCTTTGGTCTTCGTCTTTAAAATTTGTCCCTGAGGATCCCAAGTAGGAGCTTATCCTATCCACTTTCAGCACGACTTCCTGAATTCTTTCTCTACTGGAATATGGTTTGTTATTTTCGATAGTAGGTTGTTGCTGATAGTGTCTGGCCAATCTATCGGAAGTATTTTGCGTAGGCAACTGTTAATAAACACCTGTATCTTTTGGATGTTGGTTTTCGCAGTTCTCGAAGTTTCCATCCCATACAGCAGAACTGTCATGATATTTGCATTGAAAATTCTGACTTTGGTGTAAATAATAAGATCTAATAAGATCAAAGAGTTCATTTGAAGTTAGTTTAAATGAAGTACCTAGATAGAAAAGTGCAAAATAACCTTTTGTGAACCAGTTCACACATTTCATCAATAAAATTGATAAGATTTGTGTATTTTTTTATAGATTATGCAGCTTAATATTGACAGATGATTGGGTGATAAAAAATACAGTTATCCACTCTTTGGTAACTTTACCAAATTTAAGCGACCCAATGAGAGTAGAGAATAAACATCCATCATCCTCTATTGTCAAACACATTACTGAAACATGTCATAAGATTGATCTTCACTCAGCTTTTTTAGTGTTGTACAAAAGTGTTAAAGGGCGTTTACTAAGGTTTATTGAATCCTTAGCCTTCCGAAAATTCAAACCCCCTCTTTGTATTCAAAAAGAGTTTGTTCTCACCTTAAACTTACCCTGGCAATATTATCCAAAGTGATGAGGGTTCAAAGTGTTTCCAAATTATTTCTTTGTTATCCTTGTCTCCCCTTAGCCTCCATTTCTAGTCTAATCGACCTTCTAACTTTATCAGCATAAGGGTTATGGAGATTATTAAGTCTTTAATTGAGATCATGAACCGATTGATGTTAGGCCAACATGGAAAGCCTAGAAGCACTTGGTGGCCGTTTCGTCCCATTGCGGGACTCATCAGCAATGCGCATCCACGATCACGCTCACGGGATTCCAACACAGGGCCTTCAGTCTCACGCGCGAACGCTTAACCTACTGGACCGCTGAGGCGGCGTCCAATGGTGTTAATGTTTTACCTTTTAACTTTATACATAAATATTCTTACCAAGTATATTGTGCGTGATTAAATTATTCAAAATGCATTGCACTAATATATCATCACATAGTTCTGATAATCTTTCACTTCATATTACGCTATCGAAATTTATCAAAGGGAATAAATGCTTTAAATGAAAATTAAATAAAACCCAAAAGTTATCTAAGAATTTGACCACTTAATTGATCGAAATAAAAAAGTAGACACTTTTTCCAGTTTGAATGATTTGTAAAATTTATTGAGCTCAAAGAATGTCTTCTATGAGGAAGGGTTTAGAGTCGTCTTTCTTCATCTTTATTACACCTTTCAAAAGTTTACCTTTTCTGTTAAATTATTTTTGGTATACGAATCTACAATATACATGTAGATATAATGCTTGGTTTTTCGACTTTATAAATGATTAAATTAAATTTCATATAATCAGAAACGTTGTTCGATACGATAATGATGTATTAAATGTATCTAACTAGTTATTCATAAACCAAGATGTCGAGATGGTCTAGAAGATTTGTAGCCCAGGTGGATGATTTTAATGAAGTTTTGTTTGGTTGTGGAGCTTTCGTCGTTCTTCTCAACGACATCTTAAGCACAAACTTCGGGTAGAAGTGCTGACGATGTCGTCCAGAAGGACGGTGAAAGCTCCATGACCGAAACATCCGGCTCAGAGAAAAAACCATAAAAATGCACTGATGTTGATAATGTCAAATAACCATGAGATAAGGGTCAAAAGTTTAGAAAATGAAACAGTAATCCATCGAACTACCAATTGATAAATATAACATGGTATAAAAATAGACTAGATTGTCTTTTTCATGTTGATTTACTTATTGTTTGAAAATGTATGTATATCATACAAACGGTTATAAACATCAGATTGGTTCATTATTTAAGAGTCTATAATATAGATATTTCACTGTACTCATAAATCATACTTTGGGAAAAATCATTCCATAAGTTGTAAAAAAACTTGCCAAATGATATTCACTTTCATAGTTTTATACTTATTACACTCAACACAGGCAGATACTCAATGAGTTTATTTTACTTGCTTCTGAGGTATTTTGAAACAGAAAAGAAACATTGCTTGAAACTGTTGTCATTTTGATGAAAACAAATTCATTGATGTAAATTTTTAAACTAATATCAGTCATTAAGATCCCTAAGTTTTTTATTTCTGAAGCAGTTCGGATGACTCTCCCAATCTCCCGCATTGTACGAGCATTCTATACACCTAAATTAATGATTGGTCTGGTTGTCAGAAGGGGCATCGGCCTCGTAATTTACGAAGGAACTCGGTTTTCGCCATGAGGCGTCATAACTCTTCCAAATGAAGACCTTCTGATTTCCAGCGTAGAGTTTAAAACGTTTGAATAATTTTTTCTGGTTAGCGTTTTTTTTAGCTAGTTTTCTACGGGATGAGGTCGCCAACCCTATACCCAACCCTCCTCCTTTGTTCGGGCTTGGAACCGGCAGAAGGCCTCCAGGTGGAGTTAATTTTTTATGAATAATAAAAACTCGATCATTTTGCTAAGGAGACGCACCTGTTTCCAGTCATTAAGACTAGTTCTCATATAATACTAGCATTGATAGGACCGAATCACAGAATTAGGAATTAGATAATATGATATTATCAGATATTTTTCATCGTTTAGAAATTCAGATAATTTAGCAAATACGCTGAAAATCAATTAACAATGAAAATAACTGAAATGTTATCAAATAATATTTTAGTCAGGTACACGGTAAATAGCTGGAAAGTGTACGGAGTGCAGCGAAAAGTTTCAGCAACAAGCATAATACAATGACTTCTAATGACAAATTTTATTTACAATTTGGAGAAAATCAAATGGACTGTGTTGTTTCGTTGAAAATCTTAGTTCTAGGGTTACATGTTACAGGACATTACATTTTCGTCATACAATATATTGATGAGGTTAATAAAGAAATACATAGATAACAACAAAGGGATTCATAAATAGTGTATTATAAAAGAAATCACATACGCAATTCCCAGTTATCATGAATTCTTTATATTAGAAACTACATTTGTTTTGGTTGATATTAACATCAAGTTTCCCACGAATATTAACTTCTAAGCCTATACAGAAGGGTTATACTTTACAGTGAAGGTTTCAACAGGTTATATACAATAATACATTTGAAAGATTTACTGATTATAAAAAGGACTAATGACTTAAAATGATGGTTTTTTAAGAAACAGATTTGAATTCGTTTGCTTCTAGTTTCCAAGTGAATTGGAATGTATTAACTCTTTTTCCTAAAGAAAACATGAAACAAATCTGAGGGTCTTTGATCCGATCACTCGATGGCTCATAGATACACACTCCTGAAGAATTTTATTCTAGAATGCTACAAAAACAGTGGTTTCACGTTTTTATTGGTATCAGTCAAACAAATGCAAAAGATTAATTCTTGAACTGATAATGACTAATTATAATCATCTGACCTAATCTCTTCAATTAGCTACATAGAATAGTTTTGTCAACAACAGAAAAAATAAACACGATGACTGATCACCGGATAACAAATTTACTCATAACCTAATTTTACTGAATTACTAGTCAGTATAGTATTTCTAAATAACTTCTTATCTAACCTCAACCATTAAATTTGTACTATCCTTATAAAGATTAACTGAGAACTTTTTTCCGAATTTCTGTACAAAGTAAGTTGAATAATCATTAATAATTATCAACTAAGTGATCTTTTTGTAAAGTGGAATCTTGTATTTTTTTATACGGTCTAACTTGGGATGCTCCCACCATTTTCTTAAAGTTAAATTAAGAGAAAATGAATTTGATCTAATTAAACTATGATTCTACTCAGTTCAACAAATGACATAGATTCCCCAGACATGTTGCTATCAACTGCATGTAGTTAAGGAATAACGATTAAGATGGTAAACGCCTGATTTGTAGCTGTTGTTAGTATTCTGTTTTTGCAATGTAATACTGGATTTGGTCAGTCTCTGTCGGCAAACAGGTGCACCGTTTGTGGAATACATGATATAACCTTCTAGCTTGCTCTGTAAATAACAATTTAGAAATGTACAGGTCAACATTTCATCTTGAAACTAGTCAATAATAATAAGCGGAATGTGATGATTTTTGATAATCATCTACTGACGATCGGATATGAAGGCATTTTCATGTATAATTCTATGATGTTCTGCAAAAATACAAAGTAGCTATTCAGCTTTTTATTACTATTCTTCATAACTCCATAAATCTTAGTTCCTAATGATCACTTTTTGTTTAACATATTTTTATGATCAAAACCCATTTCAAATGTTGTGGATGCGCACTACTGAGTAGTCCCATACTATGATGAAACGGCCGTCCAGTCCTTCCAGGTTTTGAATGGTGGACTGATGAATTCAGCTATTAAGAGATCAATTTCACAGTTTGATATAATTTTTTGTTTATTAATATACAATAGTCATCATGGAAAAAATTCATAAGTTTCCTCTTTTCTTTTCCCAATAATCGTAACTAAAATTATCATAAAAACGAAGCATAGTGTTTTATAAACAAATACATAGGCTTGTCCGTAAATACACTATGGATATTTTTTCTAATATTTATATAATTATCTACTTATATTAAACAACTACAGAACAATTAACAGTCTACTCGTTCCCTTTATCTTCCTTTTCTACTCCGCACACACCATAATCTCCTGAA